TCGACTCTTTTTTGGACCAACCAGATTCCAACAAGTCTTTATATTGGATCAAGAAGCGGTGCTATAAGTGGATTAATCATTACAGATGTACTCAAGCTTAGCTTAATTATATACATTGTGATAGTCTTATCTTATGCCGTCCTTTTCCATATTAAAGAAAATAGATAAGGCTAGACTACACAATAAGATGATCATTAATTAAATATCGAGCTCAACATAAATATAATGTGTCATCGTCATCCATGTGAATCGAATTTGAGATTTCTCATTTTCAAATGAAGAAAAATATCACTAGACCGTAGTAATAGTTGACATGCTATTCTTCTATTTTTCTCTGTTTGTTTAAATGAGATTGTATCGAATTAAAAATAGATGAATAATGCAGATGACACTCTATAATAATAGTAAAAAACAATCGTATTTATGCACTCTGGTGGGGCCTATACCTCCATCAATTCCTCTTCATCTTAACAACTAACTAATTAACCTCCAACGCTATCGATTGTTTAAAAAAAAAATAAATAAATGTTTATGAATTTTGGAAGCGTGACTAACTGGGGTTAAGTTTGGAATTTTACGAAACCCTAATTCTCCAAAGAGCCCTTTTGACATTACAAGTTAAGGCCCAATTTCTATGCTTTCAAGTCTTTTGCATCATTCACCTCTTTTATCGTTATTTCCAGAAGGCCCCAAAATCTAGGGTTTCATCACACCCTGCACCTCCTTCTCTGGTAAGCGCTTTCTTCTTCTCTCCCCTCACACCTAAAAGTTAAATTCTTTATCCCAATACTGTCTTTCTGGTAAATTGGTAACAGATGAATTTCATGGAGGAGTAAATTAGTAACCCAATTCAACCAATGTTAGTGTTCATATAATTCTGGAAATTAAGTTGAATGTTTGGGTTTTTCTGGGGGGCTAAAGTCGTGATCTTGGACTTAGAATTAATGGTTTTTTTTCAGAAAAAGGGGATTAATCTGCTGGATGATCATTCGGGTTGGATTGGTTGACTTCTTTAAACTGTTTTCCGTTGACCCACCGGGAAATTTACTGATTTAGGAGTTGGGTTGTTGGTGATGGTGGGATCAGATGATAACCCACATGCTGTTTTCTGATAATTTGGCGCAAAACCGAACGTAGTGGCGTTCTAGGATTCATATGGCCGACTCCACTTAGCAGGATAAGGCTTTGTTGTTGTTGTAATTTTATGGGAGTGTTTACAGTTCCTGGTGTGCTTCCATTGATGTTTTTAGCTGGGTTTTTGCTTTGTTTATGTAATATAGTGGTTACTTGGCTGTATATGTTAGTAAAGAAGGCCCGTTGGGACGATGGTTTTTCGATGTTGTATGCACACAAGCTCTCGTGAGTAGCTAGTAGTATACACACACTGCGCCCGCTGGCATGAAAAATACACCAGAATGTGAGACACAATGAACAAATACTAACATTTGTGATTGTATTTTTAATCGACAACAGTAACTGACAGTTTACAGACATGGTTGGCTTTTGCGTACATATTATTTAGATCGTGGTAAACTTTGAAAGTAGTAGATAGTTTTGGGAACTGAATTATGAATTTAGCATATTTATAAACTATAGCTTTTAATTATTTTATTCGAATGTTTGAAGGTTGTGATGGCGAGGACAAAGCTTATACTGATCTGCCAATCTGGTGGGGAATTTGTTGTCAAGGATGATGGATCCATGTCATATACGGGAGGAGATGCACAGGCAGTAGATATCAATCATGAAACCCGATTTGATGATCTCAAGTTAAAATTGGCTGAAATGTTGAATTTAGACTATAAATCAGTGATCATGAAGTATTTTCTCCCAGGAAATACGCGAACTCTCATCACTTTATCCAATGATAAGGACCTGAAAAGGATGTATGAATTCCATGGGAATTCAGTAACTGCTGATGTTTTTGTCCAGGGGAAAGCAGGTTTTGATGCTGAAGCCTTCAACACACCAAAAAGGTACTTTCTTTTGTTTTGTTTGATTGGATCACAATTTCCTCGCTTTTAAAGAAATGATGACATTGCCATATTGCCCATTTGCCCTCTTTACAATAGTTGAAGCATATTGACTGGTAATTACAACATATTGTAAGTTTCTAAGTTTTCTTGCGTTGAAAGTTTAATTTCTCACTTGCAGGGCATGTGGGATAAAAGTGGCTGAATCCGTGACCCCTGTTGCCGCCTTCACGACTTCAGCTGCCACTTTACATGCTAGTCCTCTATCAAAACAACCTGGATGTATTATGCCTGTCGAAGAAAGGACCCAAATTTCAGGTGGAGTGGCGCACATGCCTACCATGTCCCCTGCGTTTACATCCACCGATAATGCGGATGCTACTAGTTCCATTCCAACTGGTTCCATATCTGCTAGTGCTGATGCAAGTCGGCACAGCTTGGACGTATTTGATATGAACTGTACTCCTGCTGATACTGTTAAGAAGCGAAGACGCACTGCTGCCTGGAAAATTGGTGCCAATGGTCCTACCATTGGTTCTGTCACTGACCATGTTGGGGAGAAAAGAAAACATACGTCCAAGAAGAAGAATATTCCTAGCCGGAACGTTGCTACAGAAACTGATGACGTGGATGAGAGGCAAGATATCCTTCACAGTAAAGATAGCAGTACTAGCAATGACCCTATCCAGGCTAGTCTAGTGGAATCAAATGATGCTCCACCTGAACTTTTACTCAAAATATGGAAAGATGCTATCACTGGGATTGGACAGGAATTCAACAATGCTAAAGAGTTTCGTGATGCGCTGCAAAAATATGCCGTTGCCCATCGTTTCATGTATAAGTTAAAAAAGAATGATACTAACCGTGCAAGTGGCAGATGTATAGTCGAAGACTGTTCCTGGAAAATTTTTGCATCTTGGGACACATCTGTGAAAAAGTTTAGGATAAAGAGTATGACTGAAACACATACTTGTGAATCAGAGTTCTTGAAATCTTATCATCCAAAACGAAGTTGGTTGGTTAGCATCGTAAAAGATAGATTACTTGAGCGCCCACATCTCAAGACAAAGGAACTTGCCAACATCATTCGTCAAGATTTTGGGATTGCTGTGAACTATACTCATGTTTGGCGTGCAGTTGAGGATGCCAAGGAGCGACTTCTAGGTTCGTATAAAGAGGCATATGACCAGTTACCGAGATTTTGTGAGAAGATGACAGAGGCAAATCCTGGCAGTAATATTGAGCTTTTCATTGGTGATGAGAGTAGATTTCAGCGCCTTTTTGTGTGTTTTTATGCTTCAATACATGGTTTTCAGAATGGTTGTCGCCCTATTCTATTTCTCGATGCTGCATCTCTAAAATCAAGATACCATGAGACTTTTTTGGCAGCTACTGCTTTGGATGGAGATGACGGTCTTTTCCCGGTTGCATTTGCTATCGTAGACACTGAGAATGATGATAACTGGCGGTGGTTTTTGGAGCAGTTAAGATCTGTACTTTCAACTACTCAATCCTTAACTTTTGTCTCGGATAGAGAGAAGGGACTAAAGAAATCAGTGCTCGAAGTATTTGAGAATGCCCACCATGGATATTCTATGCACCACCTTCTGCAAAGCTTCATGAGAAACTTGAATGGTCCATACCATGGAGATGGGAAGGGTTCCTTGCCAATCAATTTTATGGCTGCCGCCCATGCAATCCGACATGATGGGTTTAATACAAGTATTGATCAAATTAGACGGGTTTCTGCTCGAGCTTATGCCTGGGTCCAGCAAATCGAACCAGAATGTTGGACAAATGCATTATTTAAAGGTGAGCCCTATAACCATTTCACATCAGATGTTGCAGAGACATACATCAAGTGGATAGAGGAAGTGCAGGAGTTACCCATTGTGCCAAAGATTGAAGCGCTATGTTCTAAGTTCATGGAGTTGATAAATACTCGTCGAACAGATTCAAGTAAGTGGCCCACAAAACTTACTCCATCCAAGGAGGAAAAACTGCAACGAGAAGCCAGTTGCGCATATGGTCTTAAAGTCTTGTTTTCATCCGATACTCTCTTTGAGGTTCACAAGGATTCCATCAACGTTGTGGATATTAGTAAACGGTACTGTAGTTGTCTGGATTGGAATGCAACTGGTCTACCATGCTGCCATGCTATTGCTGTCTTCAACTGCACTGGTAGGGATGTGTATGATTATTGTTCGAGATACTATAAATCTGACAACTATCGTTTGACGTATTCTGAGTCCATAAACTCTGCATTGGCCCCTTTCGAGTCTTCGGATGGTGAGATTACTGATGCAGCACATGTGCTTCCTCCATCAGTCTCCAAGCAACAAGAAAAGAAAAGCCAGGCCAAAACAAAGAGTTCGTCGGCAAGGACAGTTTTTTGCTCTAGGTGCAAGGATTCAGGGCATAATAAAAAAACCTGCAAGGAACCCATGGATGATCCTTTGTCAAGTATGGACCTCATAGATGCTCCTATATCAAGTATGGACCCCGTAGATGCTCCTTCATCAAGCATCGTCCCCGTAGATGCCCTTTCATCAAGCGTCATCACCGTCGATGCCCCTCCATCAAGTATTGACCCCATCGATGCCCCTCCATCAAATATCGTCCCCACAGATGCTCCTTCATCAAGTATCGTCCCCATAGATGCTGCTCCATCAAGTATCGACCACGTAGATGCTCATTCATCAAGTATCGTTCCCATAGATCCTCCATCAAGTATCCCTTGATGTAATCCTTGAATCATACCGTCTTGGATGCTTGTTTGTTATGAATTCATGTACAGTGTTAATCGACATTTTCCGAACCGGTCTCTTTGAACTAGGTTTGTGATGAGGTTGTTTTGTTCTTGAGTTTGTCTAGAGTTTTAAATTCGTAAATTTCGCATTTGAATCGTCTTGTTCCTGAAATGTGTACTACGGATCTTGCTGTTCCAACAAAGCATGTGTTAACAGGTTAACTGTCGCCATCATCGTTGAATTTATCACCATCTCTTTGTCTCACTCATCACATGACTTCACATGAAATATAATCAATCACCCGTTACACATGAACACACCATCGCCCTTCCAAGTCGTTCTTACAGAGAGAAATGAAATTTGCAGAAATGCAGAAAACAACTAGAATTTGTACATTACATGATCACAAAGTTTGCTTCGTCTAACTTCTAGAGTATTAAAAACAGTCATTAGCTACTGATGAATACAAACTGCACTTCAACGTCGGAGTACAAACCGAAAGTTTTAGCCTGTCTACGAGTTAATCTGCTCAAGAAAGCTTCCGACGATCCAGCTGTGATTCTTTCATCAAGATTATCAGTATTAGGCTATTAATGGAGTCAAGTTAACAACTTTACTACCAACTTCTGCCTGCTCGAATCCAACCTTGAAGGTTTGAACCTTGGGCACGCACAATGGAGAAGGTGGGTAGCATCTGTCTTCAAACTTGTTTTGTGCTTGAAACAGTCTCATGAAAATATGGCTGCAAACGTAGGTTGCCACGGAGTTCAGTTGAAGACTGGTGTTCACAAGAAAATACAGTTCAGGCCTCAAAGGTTTCAAGTACAAAATTCCAAATGCTGTTTTCACCATCCCTACTCTTTTGAATCTTCAACCTTGGGCAATAATCCCGCACACAACGGACAGTGGGGGTCGTGTCTACCTTCAAAACTTGTTTTCTGCTCCAAACAATCTGCATGGAAAAGATGGCCGCAAACTAAAACTGCAACAACAGAGACTTCAGTAGAAGACTGTGTGCTACCGAGAAAGAAAGGTTTACGCCTCAACAGCTTGTCACAAATCCCACATACCATCTTCCCTGGATCTGGTGATACAGCATCCGTTGCCAAGAAGCTAGATCTAATTCTTGCTGGCCGAAGAAAAGGCTTTTCCTTGGTTTCTGGGGAGGAATTGAAAAAATAAAGTCAATACGGCAAAACAAAGAGTTCCGACAGCATTCTTCGAGAAAAGTCATGCTCAAGGAAATAAATTGAGCACATCGGAAAATTGAATATATAGTCATCCAACTACAAAAAGAAGTAAATTCCTATACTCCTATCTGACATAGGAAATATTCATCCATGTAGATTACTAGAGTTCTCACTCGTTGTCTCGATACTCAAGACCTTCCATAAAAACTGAAAAACTTAATTAAGTTCTTTGGACGTTGAACAAAAAAAGGAGAAGAAAAAGGGGACAATTCAAAATAAAACCTGAATGACGTCTGGACTCGGAGCTGGATTGAGTAGCCAACTTATAGGAGAGCTTATCATCTCGCAAAGGCACTCCTTTTCCGCGAGAGGTTGATGGATTAGCAAGATTGCCTGAGTTACGTCGAGAGTATTGATGCGCATAATGATGACGTGAGCGTTTAAAGAACATTGATCGCCCGAGGCTTGGATGATGCTGTGTAACAGAAGGGTAGGGATTTAGTAGCTTCAAACAAAGACAAAAAAAATACAAATAACTACTACTCCAAATACACGAAATAGGAAGAAATGTAAACAGAGTTGCAAAATGTCGATCAAAAGGGGTTCATTAAACCTACAAATTTTTCAAAAAACTCACTATATAACGTCGATGAAACACAAAAACACGAAAAACACGAAACACGAAAAGGGAAGAACAGCTAACCTCTTGTGTTAATAATTCCATTCCAGAAGAACACGGCATGGTGTCTGCAATATCCCCAAAAACAACAAACAAATACAAGTCATTAAAATTCACTTAAACAGTTTTCCAACACAATCAAATTGGCTATTTTTCGATCGAATCTCGTGTTCTGAGGCTGTAAATGCCAACAAAACCCCATAAAATTGGCAAAAAATAAACTCAAATTCCAATTCCGGCTTTTTTCTAAACTATATCTAATTAAGAAAGCAAATCAAAGTAATTGATCAACTAACAAATAATCATACCAAATGGGAAAGTAAAATAACAAAGAAACACAACAACTTGTAACATTTGGATTAAAGGACCAAATTTTGGGTTTTAATTAAACAAAAAACAAAGGTGGAGTCTTTTGATAATTCAGTGAATGCCCTTTAGAAAAGTTGATTTCTTTTGATTAAATTTCTTTGTTTCATGGCATTTTTATGAGAAATTGGCATGAAAAGAGAAGATTAATTACCCGAAGAACGAGGAGAGAAAGATGGAGGGCTGTGATCATCAGAGGGGAGCTTCCTCTTGCTCATTGCAATTGAATGATCAGATGAAGGAAGAGGTTCTGTGTTTGGGGTTTTAGTTCGATCTGAGGCTCTGCGGTCTCAGCGGACGAACACTCCTACTTTTGTTTCTCGAACTCGAACGTACGGTCACCAAATGTAAGCAAATGTAATGGAACCAAACGGTGAGAGATACAGAGAGCGAGAGTTTCAGGTGTGGTGGAGGTGAAAGTGATTAAGGGAACACGTGCACATCAGAACCCAACCCACTTTTCTTTTTTTTTTCTTTTTTTTTAATGCATCGATATTTTTACACAAGAATGAGAGAGAGTTCAATTAAGCAACCCACTTTTTTTTTTTTTTTTATTACATCGATATTTTTACACAAGGAGGAGGGAGAGTTCAATTAAGCAGCATAATATGCAATCTAATTTGGTATCGAATTCACCATTCACTCGAACCTAAGACCTCTCACTCCCAATAAAAGAAAAATATCATCAGACCGTAATACTGAGTAGCTCATATTTTTCTTTTTAATGACCTTTTAATCCTTCGCAGTACGACATTTCTCAAAGGAATACGATATTTACTAAAACTTTCGAGGCATTTACAATATGACAATAAAGCTACGTAATTGCCAATTGTAGTTCGCTCAGTCGGTAATGTCTTTATTTTGTGTGTTTTTCCACTAAAGTTTGAGTCTTGGAGCCAGTAATTCGTATTGGTGTGCAATCTGTAAATTCTTATGTAAATCTATATCGGTGACAGCTGACAGTTAAGTGTCGTGAGTAAGTCTTTCCGGTTCGAGATTGTGGGTATGCCCTAGCGCTGGTGGTGAAAGTAACCAATCTCCCTCAAACTTTTGAACAAACGATATTATCTACATTAAGAGGGTGGGGAGTGAGCTAAGTTTCACAACGGGTTAGCAATAATGAGTTCAAATTCCCTTTGGCGAAAATCAAACATAAAACATCTCACTTATAATTAAAAAAGAATATCATTAAATCAAAGTATTAAGTGACAACTACTCGAACTTTAGCTCACAAAAAAAATAAAGTTACGTAATGGTAATAAGGATAATCACAAATAGGTATTAAATTTTATATAGACGATTTACATTATTTATGTGAATCGTATTTGAAATCTTCTTTAGGATTAGGTATTGAAGTAAGATCGCCACCATATAAGAGGATTGAACATGACTATTGCATATGGCAATCACCAATATAAGTGAGGATGTGAGACCAATACGATGTTGGATGGCACTAAAATATAGAGAGTCTCGTGTTTTTTGAGGTTACTATCCATGTTGTTAGGCAGCATAATCATAAATCTATAAATCTCACTTCGTAGTACTTAATGAAATTAGACAAAAATATTATTTAGATTCATTTTTTATTTTATTTTTGTGTAAAAAGAGTTCAAGGGAAAATTATAGGTTCAAACTCTATTTCTAAATTGCAAATTGCAATGGTGGTTAAAGGCCCAAAGGGAGATCTAAGACTCGAAATTCAAGCCCCCATCGTCGGCCGAAGTGGACTTCGAAGGTAGAACGAAGATTGACAAAAATGGGGTAACCCGTAATTCACGTAATGATACAAGCATCATTCTCAATTTCTTTCGGAAGCTGTTATTTGACACTCTAAGAAAGTAAAATTGTAATTTTCACAAGTATAATTGCTCAAACCAAATGCATTACAAAGCCACGAAGACAAAGTCCAGAGTTTAGTCGGACGATATACTTCTTGGAACAAAGGTTCATTTTGAATCTGATGGTTGCTTTTGTTCTATTGCTATAGTGAAGCTTAAAAATATAGGTAGGGAGAAAGAAGCTCCTATAGTTGGAGAGATTTTTCAATGTGACCGGCAAACGAGATGATACATCACGTGTCACTATACAAATGGTAGGATATGTGTGTTAAAAAGTTAATAATTTAAAAAGTAAAATTTTCACCACTTACATAAAAACACTTGGTGTACCATTTGTGTTCTTGTCACAATCAAAAATTTATCCTATAGTTGCTATCTCTAATTAATGCTAACTGTTTTCATATTATTTTACATAAATAAATATTTTTATTGGCTAATTATTGACTTAGGTTGATTATGATTTTTTAAAGCATGGAGTACAGTTGGAGTACAATTTTTTTATATAGCTCTTAAAGCAAATTTTGTAGTAATTTTAGTTAAAACGTTGCTATAAAATAAAAAAAGCATGGTTGGAGACGCTTAATAGTCAAATACTTAAAAGACTATTTCGGATTGCTAATAACCATATTATTTCCCTCTTTGGCGCCTTACTGCCAGTTAGATTTCATTTTGACATGCATGTGTTATATACGTGCATTACATGATGTGATAATTAATAATTAGTTTTATTCTTTAATGATTTAATAAAATAATTCAACGATTAAACACCACATTATGTAGCATTGTAGCTTGCAAAATATAATTAAAAAGATGACTTTTCTAACATCACTTATTTAACGATAGATAAAAGCACTTTTCCTGTGAATGGCTTTTTCACGCAGTACTTGTGGTGGTTCCGCGTGGGATAAGATAGAAGATGAAATATCCACGACTTTCCACATAAGCACTTTAAAAAATTCTCTTGACTCGACTTCGACTACCTCACTTTACAGTCCACGTGTCCGAAAAACACTTGGCACTTGCATATACTATAATCTTTTCCTGGCTTTATATATTATTCTCGTTTCGAATTTTATATTTTTCTAATTCTTAGAATACTTGTTGTGTTTGATGCCACGTTGGTCAATATGTATAATTGGCATAATCATGTTCATCTTCTTATCGGAATCAAATTCTCATTTTCATATTCATATTTCAACTATTATAAACCATTACAGGGTGGTTTAGTGGTTGAAGACGAATTTCACGTCTGTATTCTACATGACACCTTATGATTCGATTCTTGGTGCTAGCGAATTACACGATAATGGTTAGGAGAAGTTAAAATGTTTCTATAAGTTTTCTTGATCTCTGAAAGAGTGAACTACCATGACGAATGCACCGATTAGTCCCCTTTTCTATATAAAAAAAAGTATTTCAATTGTTATAGAATTTATCGCAAACAATAATTTATGTGTCAAATAATTATGTTTAAACATGCATAACTCATACATTGCTAACATAAGAGAGATGTACGTTATTATTGTGTAAGACTCATCTATACATATTTAAGTACGTCAATTCTGTGTGTTTAGAATAACATTACTCTTATTCGTGTGGTAACAATCAACAAGAAGAGACTCCAAAAGGTTAGCAACGAATGCCATGAGGCCTTCAGATGTAGATTATGAAGAATTATGGTGAGCCAAATCTATCGGAAATGGTGCAACTGCAAGGTGGAGAGACTTGAAGGGAAAGGCTCTGCTGGCATGGACGACTACTGGCCGGACATGATAACACAGTCTCACCTTCACTACTCAGCCAACCAACCACCCAACCATATATGCATGCAGATCAATTATTTATTCGAAGATCGATCTCTATGTGCATGCAGATAAATTATATTAAATTTTCTATTAAAATATAGGTGGTAGGATAATGTCGCACGTCCCAACCCAACCACATGCATGATTGTTCCCGTCATATTTACGGGGACAAAAACCACAAGAGTAATGCTAGAGAGATTAAATCTATAAGTTAAATTTTGTAAACTACGTAACATAGAAGTTAGTGATTGAATTATTACTTCAACGTTGATAAACTTGCTCATTTCCTATTGGTGACACATCATTTAGTTTATAAATTTAATCTACAAATTTACAATTCCAACAAATAAATTAATACGAGACGACAAAAAATATATTAACTAAGTAGACAATTAGGATGATTTTTAGCACAGATTAATAGATGTAAAAAATTGTTATTGTTGACCATTATTTATTCTTTTTTTTTTTTTTTTTGGGTAAAAGTTGTTCATTATCTCATCTACAACCCATGCAACTTTCTCTCGTTGCCTACCTACTGCAAATCTTCATCGTATTCCACACGTATCATGTATTGATTTTTCCATTTTTTTCTGGTAGAATATTCTTTCAAAATATATTCTGCAAATAAGAGAGATATTGCAGACATGCAAGCGTGAAAACTACGTGCGCGAATTGGGTGTATATTACTCTATTATTATTTCTCTATGCATGCGGAAAAACTAATTCTAGCATATCAACATACGTTAGTGTGCTAAAGAAAATAACTTGATATATCAAGTGTCATAATACAAGCGTTTAGATACATAAAAAAAAAATTAACCACTTTTATTATTACCGATGATGTACAAAGAAGTATTTCTCGCATATTGAAAAATCTATCTAAAAGAAGAATATGAAGTGGGGTCCTCCAAATACATAATTTGGTGTAGTGAGAGAGAATGTGAATAACATGGACTTTTTATCCTCCAAATAATAAACACACGTGTCATACAAATCCACAACAAAATAAAAAATAAAAAAGTTGCAAAGAGGATAAAACCCTTAGCAAAGAAGGAAAGATCCGTTGGGGGCACGGAATAAACGTTCGGTGAATGAGTTATCCGAATAAGTTCCACGTCAGCTTTCACCTGATTTTCATCATTTAGGGCTTAAATAAGTTTTTGGTTCTAAAAGTTTTAGTGCTTGTTGCAGAGACTTTAAGTGTTTTTAAAAAAAATTACTTGTATTTTTATTAAAAAAAAAGCTTTAAAATATTTATGTCAAGAGCTCTTCTAGTTATTTTTTCTTTGACAAACGATATTAAGAGGTGAGTTTAGCCTCACAACGAGTTAATAATAGTGTGATTCATATTTATCTTTCGCGATAATCGAACTTAAGACTTATTACTTATAACTAAAGAAGAATACCATTAACCGTAGTACTAACTGACATAGCTCTTCCATTATTTAAAAATCACTTTCAACACATTTTATTTTTTATTTTTAGGAGTTAATTAATGAGAATTTTGTATTTAGGAAGGGAAAGGGATCCTCTCCGGATCCCTTCTACCTAATCATCCTCATCAAACAATCCGGCCTTTGAAATTTAATTAAATGGCTAAAAACACGGGCATACTTTAAAAACTATAATAACTTTAACCGTTGGATCAAATTTCAAGAATCCAAATTATTTGATGAGAAGATTAAGTGAAATGGATCCGAAGATAATCCCTTTTCTTTAGTAAGAAAAGGTAAAACCTAATCCGTGAACATAACGACATGTCATGAGTTCTCTCGTACAGCAACAGAACGATGTAGGTGGTAGTGTTGTTATTTGCTAGTGTTAATGAGACAGTGTGTCATTTTCCATCGGTTTCACTTGTCGTTTTGGGATTGGAGAGTTAGAAACTTCCTTTTGGCTAAGGAAAGGTGTCATTGTCTTGTTTAACATGTTAATTTAACACGTTATTATTCTTCTTTAATTTGTTATATTCGCAAAAAACTGAAAAGCGTGTTAAAGTAAAAATAGATATGTAAATTAACGAAAGATTCGAGATTTGATTGGTTAGTAACAAAATATTACCGTGTTGATTGTTTTTTCTCAATTAAAAAGATTAAGTTTTTGTAATTACGGATGATATATTTTTTTTAAATAAAAGAGATTAATTGAGCAAATTTAGGATCTAATAGGGAAAGATCATCTAAAAAAAGAAAAGAAAAAAAAGGAGAAAGCAAAGATTTTGACTGTGGTAAAAAGATTAATACCTCAGACTCGGGACATGTTCCATGGATATAGACCTAAACATCACTCCCTACAAACTGCTAATTTCTTAATTTTATTCTTAATTAAATTTTTAATCTTAATACTTTATTTAATTATTTAATCATTTTAATTAAATATAATTAAAAAGCCACCCTCCTAATCCTGGCTCTCACTTATATAAACCCACTCTAACCATCCACGGACACATACTCGTTCGCATTCTCTCTACAACTCCATAGCCTCCTCTGTTTCTCTGTGTTTCCTCTTCTGGGCAAAGAAGCTATGGGGGCGACGATACTCCCAGATCTCGGGGCCGAGATTTTGATCCCGCTGTGCGCGGTGGTCGGCATCGCCTTCTCCTTGGTTCAGTGGATGTACGTTTCGCAGGTCAAGCTCTCCCCCGGCGGCGGCCGGGACTCCAACTCCGGGAAAAATGGGCACAACGAGTACCTCATCGAGGAAGAAGAAGGCGGTAACGACCACAACGTCGTCCTCAAATGCGCCGAAATCCAAAACGCCATTTCAGAAGGTCCATTTCCACAACCATCTCTCTCTCTCGCTCTCTCTCTCTCTCTCTCTAAATTTCACGTCTTTTGAAATTCTGGTTGATAAAACGGCGTCGGATTTGTTCATTTGGTTTTCGGGTTCGGTTTATATGTTTAAAGAGCTGATATTGTATTACTGTGCTTTGAAGAAAAATTGTTAATAAATTCATTTTTGCTGCTCAGCTTTTTTTTATAAAAAATTATGAAAATAAATTATCTTTAAGTATTTATCTAATATATTTTTTTAACTTAACTATTTTTTATATCTATTTTATATAAAAACATTTCAATACTAAATACTAATTGATGTGATCGTGTCCCTTTGGTTTGAGCTTTGAGTTCTCCAGTTTGCCGGCCAAACAGAGGAAAAATAAAGTTGTTACCTTTTTGTGTATCCGACGTCGTTTTACTAACTGTGTTTACTCTGTGATTAAATTAGTAATATGTTTACTAGGTTACGGTCGATAGTTCTGGAATTCTGAAAATCTGTGTATTTTTATGTATAAAAGAATTCAGTGAGATGTTTACTTTAATTTTCTTATGTTTTCAATATAGATATATAAATAATGAAAGGATTTGTGACACTATTTTTTACAGAACTTTTTACAAAAATTTCGTAATGTATTTCAATGATTGGAACGTCTATCTTTTAAATAGATCATCTTCCCAAAAAAAAAAAAATAGACAAATTTAAAACCAACAAGATATTCATTTGTAATCAAGAAAATGGATGAGTATGATTCTACAAAGAACTCTAAACCCTAAATCCAACAGTCATATAATTTTAGATTTGAGTGATTTTTGGTAAACATGATATTTGAGGAATATCGAAAAGATTGACGGTTAGGATAGTTGAAATATATTATAGAGCAGGCCTCACAAAAACTTTTGTCAAAAGTTGTTTAAAAAAATAGTGCCATAGATCCGACTTATATATATGTATATGTGTGTGTGTGTGTGTGTGTGTGTGTGTGTATTGTCACAATTCTAGGATTACTAGGATTACTGTTATTGTTATTAAACTTGGGAACAAAATGTATTATGTTAACTGAGCTTTGAGTCTCAGCTTCATATAGTTTAGTCTGGATTTTGGAATGTCTTAATTTAACATGATTAAATCTTGCCAATTTGGAACTGATGAATGTTTTTGGCAAGTGGATTATTTGCAAAATGATCAAATTCCACATCCCTTGGATCTGGCATTACCAAATATTCCACTAGCCAAAAACATTCAGTTCCAATTTTTTGCAATTGTAAGATTTGATTTTTTTTTGTAATGTGCTATGGTTAAACATCCCTCCTTAAGTCTAATTCATCTTAACCACGTATGATCATGTCCAATGATTGTTTATTGGACTCGTTCGGTTCAACGCCAGTTATTGTGGAATTGGTAACTTTGATCTTGCATTGTTGGTAAAGTTTATGTTTCACTAACTTGATGCTTGTGTGATACAGGAGCAACCTCGTTCCTCTTCACGGAATACAGATATGTAGGTGCTTTCATGGTTGCTTTTGCAATCTTGATCTTCCTTTTCCTTGGATCCGTCGAGGGATTTAGTACAAGTAGCCGTGCATGTACATATGACCAAACCAAGATGTGCAAACCAGCTCTCGCCACTGCCATCTTCAGCACCATTTCCTTTTTGCTTGGTGCTGTAACTTCAGTTGTTTCTGGATTCCTTGGGATGAAGATTGCTACTTACGCAAATGCCAGAACAACATTGGAAGCAAGAAAAGGTGTTGGGAAGGCTTTTATTATTGCATTTAGATCAGGAGCTGTGATGGGCTTTCTCCTCGCTTCAAGTGGTCTGTTGGTTCTTTACATTGCTATCAATGTCTTCAAGTTGTACTATGGTGATGACTGGGGTGGTCTTTTCGAGGCTATAACTGGCTATGGACTTGGTGGATCTTCCATGGCTCTCTTTGGCAGGGTTGGTGGAGGCATCTATACCAAAGCTGCTGATGTTGGTGCAGATCTTGTCGGCAAGGTTGAAAGAAATATTCCCGAGGATGACCCAAGGAACCCAGCTGTAAGAGATACACCACCATTTGGAAGTTTGTTTCAAGTTATTAATTTAACTCTCCGTGTTTCTAAAACTGATGTTTTCCATTTGTACAGGTGATAGCTGATAATGTTGGCGACAATGTTGGAGATATAGCTGGCATGGGATCTGATCTTTTTGGATCCTATGCTGAGTCATCGTGTGCTGCCCTTGTGGTTGCTTCCATTTCCTCATTTGGGATCAATCACGAGCTAACTGCAATGCTATATCCTCTCATTGTCAGTTCCATCGGCATCCTTGTTTGTTTGCTCACTACCCTATTTGCAACCGATTTCTTTGAGATCAAGGCTGTAAAGGAAATTGAGCCAACATTGAAGAGGCAGCTCATAATCTCCACTGTACTCATGACCGTTGGGGTTGCGATTGCTACATGGATTTCTGTTCCATCTTCCTTCACAATCTTCAATTTCGGAACACAGAAAGTTGTGAAGAACTGGTAAGCTTTGCTTTTTTTGAAAATTTATTGTAATCAGTGCTGTGATTAAGGAGGCTTGTGCGGTTATAGATCTACTTGTATGTTTCTCTATCTGATTTATTTTACCTGAACACTGAATTGCATTCGCAGGCAGCTATTCTTATGTGTCTGTGTTGGTTTGTGGGCTGGCCTTATCATTGGGTTTGTAACAGAGTATTATACAAGCAACGCGTACAGGTAACTAGTTTTCTTGGCATTTACCGTTCCATATGTAATTTAACTGTCTTTGAATCTAACGGTTGCTCTGAATTATGCTGTAGCCCTGTGCAAGATGTTGCTGATTCTTGCCGGACTGGAGCTGCGACCAATGTCATTTTTGGCCTTGCATTGGGATACAAATCCGTCATTATTCCTATTTTTGCCATTGCAGTCAGCATTTTTGTTAGTTTTAGCTTTGCAGCTATGTACGGGATTGCTGTAGCTGCCCTTGGAATGCTGAGCACCATTGCAACTGGATTAGCGATTGATGCATATGGTCCCATCAGTGACAATGCTGGAGGCATTGCTGAGATGGCAGGAATGAGCCACAGAATCAGAGAGAGAACTGATGCTCTTGATGCTGCAGGAAACACCACTGCTGCTATTGGAAAGGTTTGAAATTTTCTCTCAAGTATTCATTGATTGTCTGAGGAATTGACGTCTAGCTATCAATCCTAGTTATTATTAAAATTTAAACGTCACCGAGTCACATGTGCTTCTGTTTGTAGGGATTTGCAATTGGCTCTGCTGCTCTTGTGTCCCTTGCTCTATTTGGTGCCTTTGTCAGCCGTGCTGGTATCAAAACAGTTGATGTGTTGACCCCGAAAGTGATTATTGGTTTGTTAGTGGGCGCAATGCTTCCGTATTGGTTCTCTGCCATGACAATGAAGAGTGTGGGAAGTGCAGCTCTAAAGATGGTTGAGGAAGTGCGCCGGCAATTCAATACCATTCCAGGTCTCATGGAGGGCACTGCCAAGCCGGACTACGCTACATGTGTTAAGATTTCGACTGATGCTTCCATCAAAGAAATGATCCCACCTGGTGCCCTTGTCATGCTTACACCTCTCATTGTTGGGATCTTTTTTGGTGTGGAAACTCTCGCTGGCGTGCTTGCTGGATCCCTTGTCTCCGGTGTACAGGTAATGCTGATCGAGTTGCTGGATTGAAGCTTTCTTTCTGCTCACTCGTCAATTGTTTGGGACAATTATGCTATATCTGAATAACACCTATTTGCATTTGTAGATTGCCATTTCTGCGTCCAACACGGGCGGTGCCTGGGATAATGCCAAGAAATACATTGAGGTAAGCATTTGATGGGTTTTACAAATGCCTTTTTGTGGTTATACTTGCTGTATCGACTTTTTTGCTTTGTCTTATCGTCTGGATTTTGGCCGGTGTAATAGGCTGGTGCGTCGGAGCATGCAAGGACCCTTGGTCCAAAAGGATCAGAATGCCACAAAGCTGCTGTCATCGGTGACACCATTGGAGACCCTCTCAAGGATACGTCTGGACCATCGCTCAACATTCTCATCAAGCTCATGGCCGTTGAGTCTCTTGTGTTTGCTCCGTTCTTTGCCACACACGGTGGCCTGCTTTTCAAGATTTAAGTTGAAAACGGTGCAACAGAAACCCGGAAGTTGTTCCTCTCCGTTCATCTGCTGATCCTCCCTTCCAATCTCCTCCGCGAAATAATGGAAGATGGGACTCAAATTAGTAACCAACGGGAGAATTGACGCACAAATTTTCTCCTATCTGAAGGAGGGTTTATGATTACGATGATGATAACGAAGATGATACAACGACGATGATAATGGTCAAACTTAGTAGGGTTTGGATTTTCTTCTGTAACTTTCATTATTCAGAACTGGTCATTGTCCATTTTTCTTGCATTGTAATAGATTAATGCATATCGCTTTTCGGTCTTCTGCGGTTTTGTGTTGTTTTCTCTTTCCAGCCAGTTAGTTTTAGCGTCTGGTTTTGCTTTCGCAAATGGTAAACGACAAGCCTAAAGTAACTTAAGAACTCCTTGAGAGAGAACTTTCATACAACGGGATGCAAGTGTGACGGGTTTTGAAGACATTATGTGGTTGCTTTTTGTTCTCATTCAACGATAATGTTTTAGCATTCGTGCCGTAAATATAAGTTAAATAAGTTTGTCAGAACAATCTGTCGTCTTACTTTGGATTCAAATCATCTTAAAATGTGAAAAGGTTTATCATATTAACTGTTAGTAACAACAATGGTCAATTTGTCCATAAAAAAATAACAAACAATAGTTTATACAACAATTTAAAGTAAGTAACGAGCTTATTCAGTTGATTAAGAGCATTCATGTTTACACTCGAAGAGTTAGTTCGAATCTTCTTTTACCTTGTGATCATTCGTATAAGAAGAAAAACAATTTGAAAAGAATCCAACTTATGTTTTGCAGTTAAACTTCTCAAAACAGAAAATTAACACTAGACCAACTTATATTCTACTATTATATACGAGGGGACAGTAAATTTGCCAATTTGGATGCAAAATCGCCGAAGCCTCCTTTCTTCGTTAATATTTTTATTCATCACTCTCGAGTGATGGTGATATTAATCGTTTTATTTATCATCATTAAAATAATTTTAATTTTAAAATTTCTCATCCAATTCAATGATAATAAGTACAGTAGCAGGCATTGTCATCGTTTGATAGAAAAATAACCCCTTCGTAAACCCTAAACCCAATTAGGATTAGCCATCTTTTAAGACCAAGTCAAAATTTTTGGGCGCCGCCCCCGTCATGATCTAATTCCGTTCGAGAGTTGACCTCTCCGCCCGCAGCATAAAATGTTATCTCTCCGCCTCCACCACCCGTCGCCACCCAAACCATATCTCTCTCCCTCCCCCTTCGTAAATCCCCAAAGCCTTAACCTTTCCCCAAACCCAACAACTACCCTCCCCCTCCGTCGCAACTCCCTCAAAATCCAATCCATCGACGCCGCCCAATTCTTCGACTACGAGTCCAATCTCGCCGCCCAGTTCCGCTACGCAAGCATGCTCAAAATCGCCGTCATTGGCTTCGGCAACTACGGCCAATTCCTCGCCGAGGCCCTCGTCGCGCAAGGCCACACCGTCCTCGCCCATTCCCGATCCGACTACTCCAAAACGGCGCAAGACCTCGGCGTTTCGTTCTTCTCCGACCCCCACGACCTCTGCGAGCAGCACCCGCAAGTTATCCTGCTATGTATCTCCATCATCTCCGCCGAGCCCGTCCTGAAATCGCTGCCTCTCCAGCGCCTCCGCCGCAACACCTTGTTCGTCGACGTGTTCTCCGTCAAGGAGTTCGCCAAGGCGTTGCTGCTCAAGTATCTGCCTCCCCACTTCGATATTCTTTGCACCCACCCGATGTTCGGACCCCAGAGCGCCAAAAACGGCTGGAAAGGGCTTCCTTTTGTGTACGAAAAAGTCCGGATTGGGTCCGAAGAATCGCGGGTTTCGCGGTGTGATAAGTTTCTGAGCATTTTTGAGAGAGAAGGGTGCAGGATGGTGGAGATGAGCTGCGCCGAGCATGATAAGTACGCGGCGGAGTCTCAGTTCATCACCCACACGGTTGGGAGAGTGTTGGGGATGTTGCACTTGGAGTCCACTCCGATCAATACGAAAGGGTATGAGACGTTGTTGGATTTGGTGAAGAACACGGAAGGGGTTAGCTTCGATTTGTATTACGGGCTGTTTATGTACAACAAGAATGCCTTGGAGATGTTGGAGAGGTTAGATGTGGCTTTCGAGGCTTTGAAGAAACAGATTTTCGGGCTTCTGCACAATTCTGTGCGAGACCAGATCTTTGGCGATGCGGAGAAGGGAAGAACTTTGCAGGAGGATAATGCGAATCGGGCTCAGAATGGAGCTGCGTTGGCATCTTCTTCTAGAGCTTCGAGGTCCGTAATGTTCCAACTTTACGAGACTACTGTTCACTTTTAACGTTCCAACTTTACGGGAGTACTGTTTATTTTTACGAAATATCACATTTTTATCTTTTAATTGTCACTATTTACTGTAGCTTTAAAAAGAGTTTTTCATTAAAAGGAAAGTTTTTTTTGATTTTTCGTTAATTTTCTTTTTAATTAGTAGAGTTGTTAACAAATAGTTTTAATGGTTTCCTTCAGATCGCCGAAAATTGCTCGACCACATGACCAAAAAGCAGAGGTTTCTGATGAATCTAGGCTAGATATTGCAATTGTCGGCTTTGGTAACTTTGGCCAGTTCCTTGCTAAGACTATTGTACGTCAAGGCCATAAGGTTCTAGCATTCTCTCGATCAGATTACTCTGAAGTGGCTCATAAACTAGGCGTTTCATACTTCTCTGATGTGGATGATTTATGTGAAGAACACCCTGACGTGATACTACTTTGTACGTCTATTCTTTCAACCGAGAAAGTTTTGAGGTCATTGCCCCTCCATAGGCTCAAGAGAAATACTTTATTTGTTGATGTTCTTTCAGTGAAAGAATTTCCCAGAAATCTCTTTCTTCAAACGTTGCCACCGGAGTTTGATATTCTATGCACGCATCCTATGTTCGGACCAGAAAGTGGTAAGAACGGGTGGAATGGCCTCGTTTTTGTTTATGATGAGGTCAGGGTTGGAAGTGAAGAATCTAGGGTATCACGGTGTGATCAATTTCTTGATATCTTTGCACGAGAAGGGTGCCGAATGGTGGAAATGTCTTGTGCAGAACATGATAAGCATGCAGCAGGCTCACAATTCATTACACACACTGTAGGAAGGATTTTGGAAAAATTGGGTTTGGAGTCGACACCAATCAACACAAAAGGTTACGAGACTTTGTTGAATTTGGTGGAGAATACAGCGGGAGATAGCTTTGATCTTTACTACGGTTTGTTCATGTACAATGTAAATGCAATGGAGCAGCTGAAGAGATTGGACATGGCATTTGAATGTTTAAGGAAGCAGCTTTTCGGGCGCTTGCATGGTTTTGTTCGGAAGCAAAATTTTGAGACGTCGGAAGAAGTGGAAAAGTGCATCCAGCATGTTGTGTGACCGCTGTATGCCACTGAAACTCAACAGAAAATTTGATAAGATGGCAATAAGGCCGGCGATGCTGTATGGCATGGAATGTTGCGCTGTGAAGCATCAACACGTACATAAAATGGGTGTAGCGGAGATAAGGATGCTTCGTTGGATGTGTGGGCACACGATAAAGGATAAGATTAGGAATGAGAATATCCGAGGTAAAGTAGGAGTAGCCGAAATTGAAGAAAAAATAAGAGAAAATCGGTTACTGTGGTTTGGACATGTGCAAAGAATGCCTATTGACGCTCCGGTTAGAAAATGTGACTACGAGACAGAGGTTCAAGGTTGAAAGGGTAGAGGAAGACCTAGGAAAACTTTGGAAGAGACTCTAAGAAAAGATTTAGAGTACTTGGATCTAACGGAGGATATGACATAGAATCAATCGCAATGGCGTTCTAGGATTCATATAGCCGATCCTATTTAATGAGAAAAGACTTTGTTATTGTTGTTGTTGGATAAGTCTCAAGTTACGCAGGAACAACCGTTGTTGCCAGAACCATCCTAGGGTGAGCAAAATTTTGAGAAGTCGGATGAGTCTCAACTTACGCAGGCAAGTTGTTGCCAGAACCATCCTGGGTGAATCTGCGCCAAAGTCAAGGATGACCTATTTTGCTGTCTTTGATTTGCTATGGTGATCTTTCAGTAACTTATTTATCTACATTATCACATAATTTTCTTTCTTTTTTATGTTTTTTTATTATTCTTTTTTATTGTATTATGAGGGGTTAGGATTATGATCCCTGACTAGGTGTAATTTTTTTTCGTTATAAATAAAAATCCTCATGTACCGTCGAGGTTTTTTAGAAAAAAAAACATAAGTTTCTTTGATTGTATCATTTGTGGGTGTTCAATTAAAATTCTTTTTTCCATGCCATTGAGGCTTATGTGTAATTTTTCATTTGGAAATAGAAGTCGATTTGGAAAAAGGGAAGGGTGTCAGTAACTCAAGAACAACTTATAAGAAACGAGATCATTATCTTGTAGCGTTTCGATTCAATAATACACGTAGAACCATGTGTTGATAAATTTACACTTCTCATTATTTTATTGGAAATGAATGCCGCATGTGTCTTATTTATGTCCAAGTCATCAAATCTTATCTTAATAGATAATATCTAAGGATATTTATTTGGAATTTGGTTGTGGATTTTTTGATGCCCTAATCTTTGGCAACAACATAAATCATTAACTTGTGTAATCCAGTCCAATCCGACAAAATGCGATTGGATAAGGGTAATTGTCTTTACACTCTCGTTTTTCTATGCCCTAATCTTTGGCAACAACATAAATCATTAAATTGTGTAATCCAGTCCAATCCAACAAAATGCGGTTGGATAAGGGTAATCGTCTTTATCATGTGATTTTTTATTCTATTTTAATTTATTCAATAAAAAGGTTAGAAGAAAAAAAAAAGACGGGAGAAAATCGAATTTTGAAAATAAATTTTCAATTTGCTTTATAAATGAATTTTACCCTTCGAAAGTAAAAAATGGTAATTAAACAAAAGTTGAAGAAATCTTAATTAATTAAGGAGCTATACATAATACATATAACAAACATCATCATAAAGTTGTCACTTTTCTTCACTCGCATTTCAAATACTGAATCTTCTTGGTAGACAAGTTAACTTCCAGAGTGCAGTCCATTTTCGCAGACTTCTTCTTCTTCATCACCATCATCAGTTCCACCGTTCCACTCACCCTCGCTTCGCTCGTCAGCCGCAAAACACCGGTGCTCAGTTCACTGCGAAGTCCGGAGTTTTTCGAGCTCGGCAGCCCCTTGGCACTCAAACTCACCGTGACATCAATCTTCTTGGTCGACCACATTCCGGCCTTGCTCTTGGGAACGCTAACTTGCCCGACAGTCGCGCCATCGTAGTCAAACGTAACAGTGCTTGCGTCGAACTTGTAGCGACCGAGATTTGTGTTCTTGATACTGATTTGAGTTGCGAATGTCATGTCGAACGAGGGCGTTGCAGGGGCGGCCGTGACGTTCTGGACGTTGACGGCGCCAAGTCTCACCTTCGGCGTCTTCACTTTCAGCACGGTGAGGCTTAGTGCGGTGATCACGATGATCTGAAACACAACAAACACAGTAATGTAAATTCCCAATCGGATTCTCTTCTTCCGTTTCAGCTCATGCTGCTCCGGTTGCGAATTCACCATCTCTTCGTCGCTTCTCTGATTGGCCTTCTCCGCCATTTTCTTTTCGTTTCGGAATCTTTGATGGGTTTCTTCTGTGGAGAGAGTTTGTTGTGTATTTATCGACCGGCGTTCTTCTGACCGAGGAATGAGAGAGGAAGAAGAGGAGGTGATTTGTTCCTGCAAGAAAAGCTGCCTTTTTCGACGTTGGACTGATTAGGATGGTCACATGGTCCTCGCTTTGGTAAAATACATGTGAAGTTTCCTAAATTCTATCCACTAAAGCTTTGATGGCAAATCCAATTTGGACCTTGAGACTTTTCTCCCCACAAGTTGCCCCACATGGATTGGCCTTTGATATGGGTTGCTCAAGATTGGGAGAGATTTTCAGCGTGTCCACAACACGACATATCATTATACAATTAGAAAGACATTTGAAAAGAAAAGAAACTTTCTTCCAATTGTATACTGATGTACGGTGTTCTGCTCCAGGTTCCGAGCACACTGAAAATATATTCAAGATTAGACACTGTTTTATGTTTGGGCCTTGGACTGCCTTAGCGGCATTGTGAACATATATCGAGATTTAGACGTGGGTATGATCACATTAATTTGAGCGGATGTGATCCTTCTTATGGGCTTGAATTCGAAATGCCACTCTTGATAGTTTACATTTCATTAAAGTAGGATATTACTTGCATAGGAAAAAAAGTGTTGAATTAAAAATTATGAAGATTAAGGACGGTTGAAACTGTGCATGCAAAAAGAAAGAAAAAATTGGCTCATAAGCACTTTTGTTAGAAGCTCTTTCATTAAAAAGAACAAAGTTGAATTTTGTCTCGTAATTCATATAGAAAACATACCTTTTTTTAATAGAAAGCAAGGTTGAGTAGGGAAAAAAAAAAAAAAAAAAAAAGTAAAGTGAATAGTATCAAAATTGATTTTTTAGTGAAAATAACTTGAAAACTTTAAGTTTTATTGATAAAAACAAAATAAATGTTAAAGTAAATAATACTAGAATTGATTTTTTAGTATAAAAATATAATTTTTCGTTAAAATAAACAGTACCAAAAGTTTTTCGTTAAAAATTTTTATTTTTATTTTTATTTTCTATTGAAAATTGAAATTTAGGGCACAAAAATTTTTCCAAAATATTTTACTTTTGGCTTTGGAAGTATTTGGTTGTGTCTGTCTTATCTATCTAGAGCTCATAGTCATCGTCGATTCGTCTTGTTGCTCCTCAGCCTCTCACACCCTTTCTTTCGTCGCCCCTTCCGATTCAACGGCTCTGTGAATTAGGGTTTTCTGAGCTACCCCAATCCTTGATTTCGTCTCTCGTGGTGTCGATAGTCATCTCCTTCAAATCGTAGAGTAAAAGCAGCTTCATTGCAGAATTCGCATTTTCCAGGTAAAATTCTAATTTCTTTTTCTTTCAAATAGCCAAGAAATTCATAAAATTTGAATTAAATTCATAAAATTACATAAAGATGCAAACTTGCTGCAGTTGCTGGAAGCATAAGCTAACGATTTAAAAAGGGCTTTGTTTTTTTTTTTTTTTCCTTTTAATTTTGTTTGTATTTTCAGCCCTTGTATTGTGGTTGAATCAGATTTAAAAAAAGATGTAATATAGTTAGTCAGATACGTGGTTTATCAGTTGGGAATATTTTGCAGGAAGGATGAACAGCCTTAAAGATTGGATTTCTTCTCAGTTAGTATCCATGCCTCTGGTTTCGCCTCGGCCGTTGTCGGGCAGTGACAGTTTCTTTAGGGAGGAACCCTGCAATGAAGAGTTTGATGACCAAGGTAATACTGCCAACCCAAAAATTCAATGCTGTTGATGTTTTCAAAGACTGATTCCTTAGATTGACTGTCAAATGCCATCTATCTATGATATGCAGTTCTTTAGTTTGACTGTAAGAGTATGTATTGTTTTCGAATTAATTAGTTTCATGTAAAAGGTAGATAATTAATCCATATTTGATGCTAAAAAGCGGAAACCAGTTTCAATCTGCGGGTTGTACTTTGTTTGACTCTGCGAGGAGAGCTTAATGTTTCTAATTTTCAGGTGCTGCTCACTCGAGCACTTTGGTAACACCACGCATCCGGTCTGCCCCATCAACCTCATTTAATAGTGATCGGGAAAATCAGTCTGATCAGTCCCTGCAGCATGTTGTAGTTCAAAATTCTGATCACTCTCATAATCGCTCTGATAAGAAAAAGATGGATCCTTTGGTAAGAATTGATGACCTTCAAGTTAAGTTCTTGCGCCTCCTCCTCCGGCTTGGTCTGTCACAAAACAATGTTCTGGTTGCTAAGGTTCTTTATCGTATTCACCTGGCTACTTTGATACGAGCAGAAGAATCAGATTTGAAAAGAGTTAATCTGAGGAGTGATACAGCTAGAGCTGTGGCAGCAGAACAGGAGGCATCTGGCCTGCCTGAAATGGATTTCTCTCTCAGAATACTTGTCCTGGGGAAAACAGGAGTTGGTAAGAGTGCCACAATAAATTCTATATTTGATCAAACAAAGACTGAAACCAATCCATTTCGACCTGGCACAGATCGTATTCGAGAGGTTGTGGGAACTGTAAATGGGATTAAAGTAACTATCATCGATACCCCCGGTTTTTTGCCATCAAGTACTGTTAATTTCCGCAGAAATAAGAAGATTATGCTCTCTGTGAAGAAATTTATTAGAAAAAGTCCACCTGACATCGTTTTGTTCTTCGAACGCCTTGACCTCATGAGTAGTAATTACAATGACTTCTCCCTTTTGAAGCAAATAACCAAGGTATTCGGGCCTGCAGTTTGGTTTAACACCATTCTTGTTATGACACATTCTTCCCTAGTCCTTCCGGAAGGACCTGATGGGTATCCTGTCAATTATGAATCATATGTGAGGCAAAGCACAGATATGGTGCAGCACTATATACACCAGGCAGTGTCTGACTCCAGACTTGAAAACCCAGTGTTGTTAGTTGAGAATCATCCTCAGTGTAGGAAAAATATTGCCGGTGAAAAGATACTTCCAAACGGACAGGTTTGGAAATCTCAGTTTTTGTTATTATGCATTTGTAGTAAAGTTCTGAGTGATGTCAATATCCTCATGAAATTTCAAGACAGCATTCATCTGGGGCCCTCAAATGCCACTCACGTGCCTTCCCTGCCGCATCTCCTATCGTCTCTTCTACGTCATCGCACTACTATTGGTCCAAGTGGAGGGGACGTTGGAGTTGATGAGAGCTTGGTTTCAGATGCGGAGGAGGAAGATGAGTATGATCAATTACCTCCAATCCGAATTCTGACAAAATCTCAGTTTGAGAGATTAACAAAATCACAGAAAAAAGACTATCTTGATGAATTGGATTATCGAGAGACCCTTTATCTGAAGAAACAGTTGAAAGAAGAGTACCGTAGGCAGATGGAGATTATGCTTTCCAAAGAGAAAAATACAGCGAGCGATGATAATTCTGATAGTCAGCAGGCTTCCCAAGTAGAGGCTGTTTTATTACCAGATATGGAGGTCCCTCCAAGTTTTGGCTCTAATTGGCCTGCACACAGGTATCGTTGTCTTCTTACAAGTGATCAGTGGATTATGAGACCTGTTCTTGATTCCCATGGATGGGATAATGATGTGGGCTTGGATGGGGTAAGCTTGGAAACTGCTATGCAGGTAAATAGGAACGTGTTTACCTCTGTTTCAGGGCAGATGAGCAAGGACAAGCAGGA